CTCTGCGACGAATTTCATCCGGAGGGATGCCGTCGGACGCCTGCTATGATGTTGGGACAGGTCGTATTAGTTTTGTAGATTTGATCAGTTGGCTTGGCGCCTGGTCTGATCATTCGGCCTGTGGCCTTGGTAAGTTCTTGGTGAACGTAGGTGCTAAATAAAAGAAGGGTAGCCGCCTGTTAGGCACAAGGTCGGCCAGGCCCTAATCTTTTTAGCTAAGTATTAGGGGGGTGGCTATGTGCTTGGAACCAGTCGGCCATCTTCTTATGGAGAGTAGCCGACTATATGCCCAGGCGACATGCCCCTATTGTGAGTGAAATACTCAATGGAGAGTAGCCGACTGTAAAGGTACAGACGGCATGCCCCTCTGAAGATAGAGTGTAAAACTCAATGGAGAGTAGCCGACTGTAAAGGTACAGACGGCATGCCCCTCTGAAGATAGAGTGTAAAACTCAATGGAGAGTAGCCGACTGTATAAGTTACAGACGGCATGCCCCTCTGAAGATAGAGTGTAAAACTCAATGGAGAGTAGCCGACTGTAAAGGTACAGACGGCATGCCCCTCTGAAGATAGAGTGTAAAACTCAATGGAGAGTAGCCGACTGTAAAGGTACAGACGGCATGCCCCTCGTAATACAAAATTGAATAGTAAGTGCAAACTTTTATTAAGTAGCCGACTGTAAAGGTACAGACGGCATGCCCCATGGTTCCGCTTCTTTTGCCGTACCGGCTTCTTTTTCGGATCCACGACGAGTTTATGTACCGCCAGATCAGGACTAATGCCTGGCATTTCATGGACTTCAAATGCAAAGATGTCCTTGTATTCTTTCAATAGGTTGTGAAAGTCGTCACCAAGGTTTCTCAGAGCAGTCGTCCCAATGTTGACTGTTCGGTCAGGACGTGAGTCGTCTAAGATCAGGTCCGCATGCTCACCAGCCGGCTGAGGGCGGAACTCATCCGGCCGCTCCTTTGCCAATGATTGCTATTTTCTTGCTTTTCTTGCGGACTCTGTCTGGGACGCCTTTCTTTTTTTGCCGCCTGCTTCTTGAACAGGCGCACTCTTCTTGACATTGTCAAGGTCTGTTTTTTCACCACTTGACCCAGTGGCCATAACGGTGGGCTTGACATCCGAGAGATAGCACTCTCGGGCCATCCTCTGATCTCCCCTTAGGGAGCCGACTGTTCCATTATCCCTCTCAAACTTGAGCAACATAAGAGACGGGATTATAACAGCCTTGGAATTATTCAGGGTTGGTCGACCCAGAATCATGTTGTAGGCCGAGAGTTCCTCTACTACTAGGAACCGGACTACCATGTGTCGTCCTTCCCTTTTTTCTCCCAGGCGAATGGGTAAATCTACTCGTCCCAGTGGGTGGACGACTCCTCCTCCAAACCCTATTAAAGGGTGGGAGGCCGGATGTATGCAGTCTGTCTGATATTTTAGTTTCGACAGACATTTGCTGCTGATGAGATCTGAGGAGCTCCCGGTATCTATGAGGATTCGGCCAACTCTCTGGTTGGCCACTTTACATTCAATAACGAGAGGGTCGTCATGCGGCCCCGTTACCCCTCCTAGATCCTCTTCAGTGATGACAATCTCAGGAAATGTATATTTGGACGGCCGTTCTTGGTGAACGGAATTTACACCTAACCGCCTTATATTATCTTTGTTGCCCCTAATAGTGGGACCGCCTCCTGAGAAGCCGCCTGCAATAGTGTAGACGACTGCATCATCTGTATCAGAGCTGTCGGCCTGTTGATTCTTTTTGGCCGACTGTTTTTTCGAGGAAGTGCTCCCCTTGGATTTCTTGACAAAAGAGTCAAAATCACCTTGCTCAGCCAGGCGGTCTAGGTACCGCATAAGACTGATGCAGTCATTGGTGTGATGACCAACGTCATCATGATAAGCACAGATTTTATCTTGGTTCCGGTTGTTTGCGGAACCCTTCATGGGGACCGGCTTCTCAATTGAGATCCGTCCCTTAATTTCTTTTAGGATAAACTGGTTATCCTTGTTAAACGCATACTTTGGGGAGTATGGTTTGAATTCTTTTTTCTTTTTCTGGGCCGGCTGTTTAGAGGAATCAGCCGCCCAGACCTCTTTTCTTTTCTCATCTTTGTTTGACGACTGTTTCTGTCGTCCTTCTCTTTTGTCGAACCTTTTCCCGTCTGACTGTTTTATCGTACACAGATCAGTCGCCTGTATATAGGCTTCTGCTTCAATCAAGGCCTCTTAAAGAGTCGCCACCCTTTTTCGAACCAAATCAAATTTGAAGGTAGACCCGTCTTTGAGACCTCTAAAAAAGTCGGTATAAGCTACCTCATCCGGTAACCCTTGAATCTGTATTCTCATCAGGTTAAACCGCCTGATGTAAGAACGAAGCCCCTCCTTCTCGCCCTGCTGAATTGTTCCCAAATCAAGGGTCGTTTTCTTCGCAGGGATGTTCATGGCGAAGTTGGAGGCAAATAAGTAAGCAAGCGTCCTGAAGCTATTTACACAACCAGTCGGCAGGTTGCCGAACCATTGCTGTGCGATTCCTTTGAGAGTCGCTGGGAAACACTTGCACCAAGTGGGATCATCCAACCCTTGAAGGTACATCAGGTTGGTGAATGCCATCAGATGGTCTTCTGGGTTAGTAGTGTCGTCATAGGCGCCTACTAGTACATTTTTTACTTTGGCCGGCTGAGCGGCGTCAGTAATTTCCTTGGAGAAGGCCGACGGTTGTTCACCAAGTCTAAGCAACCGTAGCTGCCAGCCCATAGGTTGGACGTTTTTTGCTGTAGGTCCACCAAATGGAGGTGGCTGCATAAAATACTGTTGTTGCGGCACAAATGGTAAGTTTGGTACCGCCTGGGCACTATGAAAGCCGGACTGACGGGAGGTGCCGCCTGACTGACTCTCATGGTACGACTGAGTATGCCTCATCGAGGCATTTCGCAAACTGTCTTGAAAGTTTGAAGTAGAAGCCGACTCTGACAATCGGTCACTCTTCTTCTGCTCTAGCAGTAGCCGAGCATCTGTGAATGTTTGCTTTGACCCGTCCGCCTGAATATGACGAACCGGTTTCCTATTTCCTGTAGGATAACGGAATTTTGTGAAATCAAGGGCAGGTGGCTCCCGCTTCCTAGATTTAGGATGAGGAGTCGCCTCTCGCCCTTGAACTGGCTTCCTCTTCAGTGAAGTGGAGGGTTTCTTGGCCGACTGCTCCTTGACTGAAGCAGGCGGCTTCTTGTTGATCAACTCTTGAATCTCTCCCTTGAAGTCCCTCATAAAGGTTATGAGTTCGTTCCTTGTGATGGGAGCAGACCCATCAGTCGGCTGTTGCCGAACAGGTGGTGCGCCTGCCGGCTCGCTTCCTGTTTGAAGATGCTCCCGTTCCCTCCTTTCGGTATGACGGGTACGTCGGGCCCTTAGGGTCCCGTCTGAAGCTGTATGAGTTTCAACTTCAAATTCACTTTCGGTGTCATGGTCCGACTGAACTTGAGGGTCGTTTAGGGGACGCCTCTCTTCAGGAGTCGGTACAGACTTGGATGCCATCTCTGAAGTACTCTCCCCACAGACGGCGCCAAATGTTTCGGGGTTTTCTGATGTCCTGCGGGAGAGTTACAATTCCGAGACTGGAACCGGACGCCTGTACCTGCAAAATAACGGAGACTCCTGGGAGCTCCGCCTCCAACGGTCAAGTTAGTACCTGATTAAGGAGTAATTAACGCGGAAATTAAAGTAATAAGGTCTCTCTAGGTGAGGGTGTTTAATGTAGGTAATCTGCTTTGTTAGCGAGATCAGCCGGTTATTAGTGTGTTCCGTAATGTTTCTGTTCTGTTCTCCCCCCCTTAATGAGGATTAAGGGAGGTATTTATAACCTTGGGAAACGTGCCCATCCTAGGTTTAGGTAAACCTAGGGCCGATTGGGCTTCCCTCGGAAGTTGGGCCTGGGTGGCCGGTTTTCCCATTTGGCATGGGTGGACACGTGGTGTGTCTCAATTGGTCCGTAGAGGACGTATCTGTGATTGACACGTGGCAGGCTCCTATTGGCTTACGTGAAGGACACGTGGCGGAACCTGGTTGGTCCACTTGTCAGACGGTGATTGGTGGATAAAAATCCCCTAATCACCTGGTATACGGGAGTAGTATACTATTGTAATATATTACCTTATACGTAATATATATTTGTTTATTATAGAAAAATGCTTGTTAAAATATTTTCATTAAATGCATATTGAATATATTTTGTATATAGTTGTCAAATTAAAAGTTAAATATTATAGGATATAAATTAATATTTATGAAGATTTGTAATAAAAAAAAAAGAGTAAAAGTAGCGGGAAAATTTTAATCAGAACATCACAAATGTCACGTCAGATTCGCTTTTAGTTTTATGCTATTGATTATTGATGATAGTTTCTAACGTATTGCAGGTTAATTTTCATTGTGTAGTTTTTATTTTTTTATTTTTTTTATTTTTTTATTTTTTTATTTAATACTCAAATAATAAATATTATTTTTTCAAGTAAAAAGCTGAAATATTGTCTGAGTCACAACACTAATTTCTCATTATAAGATCTATTAAAAGAAAATCTCAGGAGAGATATTAAATTTGTTGACATAATAGTTACTCCTAAAATTAAAGTCACCATTTTTAATTTCCTCAAAAAACCGATTCACTCTTGAACAAATATATTGTACATTTGCTTATAATTATCCTTAATAAGTATATATTGCACTCGTATATAAGAGACATGCCTAATTTTTGTCCAACAATAAAAAAAATTAAGGACATTATCAATTATTAGGTTAGGTACCGTGCCATGCACGGTAATTTTTAATAACTATTCTATAACTATTAACACTATATTTAATTATTAAAAAAAATCTATTTAAGTTACTACTTTGTAAAATGAATTAATTATGAAAGAGTCTATTATTAGCAAAATAGATAATTTAAAATACACATATATGTATATTTATATATATTTCACTTACTAATTTATACCATTTCTTCTTTTAACCAAACGGATATCTTACAACTATGTATCTAATTCGTAAATAAATTTACTTTTTACACACTATTAATCCATTCTCTCTTATGCGGTATTTATTTTTCTTCTTAATAATCAACTGGCTTAGAAAAAAATTCATATCTTTCAGCAAGCTTTTCAAACATAATTAAATAAAAAAATATTTTTTTAAAAAAATAATCCTTGTTGTAAAAATGGTAAGAGTAGTATATAGCACTATGTATGTCACAAATTATGTTAAGAATTTGATTTTCATTTTTTTAACTTTAGCTTATGGTTTCAATATATATAGTGGAAGGATACATTAAATATTTTTAATCTTCAATTTATATATAAGATTTGTTTCCTAAATAGTGTCTTTTTTTTTTGACACACCAGAAAATGACACGTGTCATTGCTAGTGTGTCTTTTAGTATATAGTTATGGATAGTTAGCAAATATTAATTTCTTTCGGTATAATAGTTAGGGTTGTTAAAAAAAAACCCGACCCGATTGTCCTGTCCCGATTATCCGATGACCCGCAAAAAACCCGATGGGAAATTGATGAATTTTTCTTTTTTTTTAAGGTCGGGAACCCGTCCCACTAAAATAGCAGTTTCGTGGGCTGGGACATGAGACAGGCTTTGCTAATCTCAAGTACCCGGATATCCGTTAAAAAAAAAATTCGTTACTCCCTAACCAGTCAGCCCACTTAGACCCAGGGTTCCAATTTTCCCACTCCAAAAAAAAAAAAAAACGATAGTCAGACTTCTTCTCTTTCTCTTTCTTGCGCCTCATCTCGACATCTCCTCCCTAAAAAAATCAATCAATTCCTCACTCGAAATTCGACTCGATTCATCCTCAAACTTCAGTCGATCTCAGGTTAGTTTAATTTGTACTATTTTTGTGGTATTTTTGAAGTTTTTTTCATGGTATTTAGTTTAGTTAATATTAATCTAATTATTTTTTTTAACATCAATTGCTTGATCTAAATCATTCCGTGGTCCTGCTCATTTTCATCAGTTCACTCAATCTTCTCGCCACCTCAGGTTAGTTTGTTGTAATTTTTGTTCACTATAATTTGTTGTGTTTTTTATTATGGATGGGCGGTATTGAATATTGATTGTGAATGGGTTGTTGATTGGGGTATGGAACTAATTTGAGTTGATTTTGTGTTCTTTTGATTTTTATTATCTTCCTGTTTTTCGTCTTAATGTGGGATTATGCATAAGTTACTGATTTTTTTTTCACTTCCTGTAATTCTAATTAATTTGTTTACGTTTGATTTTTTTTTTTTTCACTTTCTGTTTTCACTTATAGTATTCTGTTTTTGTTTGATTGTTTTTTTCACTTCCTGAAATTCTAATTAATCTGTTTTCATTTTTTATTCTGTTTTCATTTATATTACTTGTTGTTATTTATATTATTCTATTTTTGTATTATGTTTTCATACGTGGAATTTTGTTATCATTTTATTATTCTGTTTTTGTTTTATAATAATTTATATCATATGATTAGAGATGGAAATGGATCCAGATCCAACCCGGATCCGCGGACCCATATCCGTCTTTGACGGATCTGGATCCGGAAAATTTGGACCCGTCGGATCCGGATCCACTGCTGAAAACGGGTCTGGATCCGGATCTCACTCTGAGATCCGGATCCGTTTACCCGTTTTAAAAAAAATATATATAAAATGCCATGTATAACAAATTGTGTCAGCAGAAATACTCCAAAGCCCAAAGAGTCCAAAACTCCAAACCCTAAAACACGACATTCCAGTATAACAGCATTCCCAATTCCAATACTTTGCTAAGCTTGATTCTTGGGAATGTTGAGATTATTGGATTTTGTTTTATAAAAATTATTGTTTTTATTAAGAAATTCATATAAAAGCGAAAGGATCCGTTTTGGACCCGGATCTGGATATGGATCCTAGTGTTCAGATTTGACGGATCTGGATCCAAGGTCTGAAAACAGATATGGATCTGGATCCAGACAGATCCGATCCAGATCCGGCCCGTTGCCATCCCTACATATGATTATTTAATAATTTATTATACTGTTTTCTTTTGTTAACCAAAAAATGTCAACATTTGATGATGATTCTGATGACTTGATGGAGACAAATTCAAGTCAAGAAGTTGAAGCACAAGATTCTGATGAGGCAGAGGTTTTGGAGAAGGCTCCAAAACCATGGCCTAAGAAGAAAAGAGCAGGGAAGAAACCAAAAGGCTAAAAAGGAGGTAAAAGGAAAAAAAACCTCTAATGCTTGGGAACACTTTAAAGTAATTAAAACTGACCCTAACCATGCTAAATGTCTTTATTGTGGGGCAATAATTGGTTGTGATCCAAAGAATGAAACTAATGGCATGTATCGACACACTGATAGGTGTAAAAAATCTCCATTTTACAAAGATAAATCTCAAACTATCTTACATTTTGAGTCTAGGACAAAGATTAATACTGATGGGAGTGTCCAAACTGTTAATGTTCCTAAATTGTGGAGATTTAATCATGATGAGATTAGAAAAACACTTGCTAAGATGATAATTGTAGATGAGTTGCCTTTTGCTTTTGTTAAACGTGAATGTTTTCGTCAGTTTTGTAAAGTTGTTGTTCCTAAATTTGTTCCTCCCTCGCGTGCTACCATTACAAGGGATTGTTATGGTCTTTTTATTGATCAAAGGAAAAAGTTAAAGAATTTTTTCAACAATTTGTCTTCTAGAGTATGTCTTACTATATATACATGGACTTTAGGTCAAAACTTGTCATATATGTGTCTTACTGCTATTTCATTGATGATGATTGGAAATTGCATAAGAGAATCATTAACTTTTGTCCTATTACCAGTCATTCTGGGGAGCTTATTGGTAAATCTGTTGAAAAATGTTTGTTAGAATGGAATTTGAAGAGGGTTATGACTGTAACAATTGAATGCTAGCTCAAATGATTTGGCTATAAAATACTTGAAAAAAATCTTTAATATTTGGGATGGGTTTGTGTTGAATTCTAAGTTTTTGCATATGAGATGTGCCGCACACATTTTGAATTTGGTTGTTAAAGATAGCTTGAAAGATGTGAATGTTTTTGTTTTAAAAGTCCGAGCTGCCGTGAAATATGTGAGGTCTTCTTCTAGGCTTCAAAAGTTCAAGTCTTGTGTTAGAAGAAGAGAACATCACTTGTAAAGGTCTTGTTTGTTTAGATATTGAAACAAGATGGAATTCCACCTATTTGATGCTTAAGACTGCTTTAGTGTTTAGGAAAGCCTTTAAAAATATGAAAACAAAGTTCTCTCCTTACACTAAAGAGCTTATGAAGCAACCGGTGGGGGGTGCTCCCGATGATGAGGATTGGAATAAAATTCAAAGTTTCTTGCCTTTTTTTGAAATTTTTTATAATGCTACTTTGAAGTTGTCCGGATCCCACTATGTGACAGGAAATACTTTTAAGGAAGAGATTTATGATATTGGGTACACCATTTATGACTATGCTAGTGATCCGAATGATGATGTTAAGAATATGGCAACACAAATGAATTTGAAATTTGACAAGTATTGGGAAAATGTTCGTAATATTAATATCTTGATGTTCATTGCATTGATTCTTGATCCAAGGAATAAGATGAAGTATACGGAGCATATTGTGCGTAATTCTTATGATGTTAGCAATCCCTATATTTTGTGTAAACGTATTCAAGATACATTAAATTCATTATATGATTGTTATGCACAAAAAGTGGGGTCATCTTCTACTAATATTGCCTCTACAAGTCAAAGTGAAAAGGGTGGGAAAGAACAAAAAAAGGGTTCTAACAATGTATCTCGATTGAGGGATATATAGTTTTGTAAGGGAGATTGGGAATGATTCATCTTCCAAAGGAATGACCGAATTAGAAAAGTATTTAGGGGATAAACTAGAGCCTAGTGATGAGGATTTTGATACTTTGGCATGGTGGAGTGCACAAGGAAAAACATATCCAATACTTATGACTATGGCTCGTGATATTCTTGCTATTCCGGTTTCTTCTATTGCTTCGGAGTCCACTTTTAGCACGGGAGGACGTGTTATAGATTCCTTTCGTACTTCTTTGAGCACAAAAATGGTAGAAGGTCTTGTTTGTGGCCAAGATTAGACGCGTAGCTCCAATGTCCCTATTACTATAGAGGAAAACTTGCTTGAATTAGAAAATATGGAAGAAGAAGGTGATTTTGTAACTTTATATATTACTTTATTTTACTACTTTACTATATATAATATATGTGATATGTAATTATTTTATTGCAGTATTTGTGTTTTGTAGGAATGAAAGACTTGGTTTTGGAGCAACCGACGATTGTTATTGATGAGACAATGGATGGAAATATCGGATCTCACAAGTGAATGAATTGATCCCCTCCCATTTCGTTTGTTGTGTGGCTTTGTGCCATAATTTGTACTTTGTATGTTTTGAAGTTATGTAACTAAAAACTCAAAAACTTTGTATTCCCATCCTTAAACTCTAGTTTTGATTTTTTTTTTTTTTTTACCTTTGATTCTTAGTTTTAACTTTAAGTTATTAATTAGTATGTCATCAACTTTAAAAAATTGTAGGTACTTATTTTGCAGGATATACAGGCATACAACAAATATTGTTTACAACAGGTTTTTTTTTTTTTTTTTTTTTTTTTAAAAACAGCATATTTTTTAAAAAAAATTTACTGCAGTTTTATTTATTTAAAAAAAAACAGGTTTATTATTGTAAATATACATCAGATTTTCTTAAAAAATATACAGGTGGTTTTTTAAAATTAAAACAACCAACAACACCAGGTTTTAGGTACAAACTTATTTAAAAAAATAAATAAATAAAATCCGGGTACTCGTGTCCCGTCCTGGATACTTCGGGTAGCCGAATACCGGATATCCGAATTATCCGGGATGGGACACTGACCGACTTACAACTACCCGAAGATCCAGATATCGGGATCTGAACACCCCTAATAATAGTCACAAAGAACTGTGCACGAGGAGATAAGATTCAAACCCATATCTCGATGACTTTTGATATTTCCTTGCATTGTAGGCATGTCCATTTCAACCTTAAATACAAGGAGTGTTACATATCGTTTTTGAATAGTAGGAGTGTTACAAATCTAATTACACAGTTTATGTGATGTGGCAGTTTAGTGGTGTTAGACCAAAATGGTAAATTAGTGGTGGGAAGCACTTGATTGATAGCTAACTAAAATTCTAGTAGAGAAAAGCCGTATGTACCTTCCTAACGAAGAACTTTCAAATTGTTTTATCACTAACTACTTAATCATTAGTATTAGCACTCCCTCCATTTGACTCACTTCACCCTTTATTCTTCTATTGCATTCACTTTATCACACATGGTGTAATACTTTTCCTTTGATCTTTCTTACACTCAAGACTCAACTATTGTTTTTAGCAATACAAGTTAGTTAACTTAGCTTCTTAATTACTTGTTATAAATAGGTTTTTACTTTTCAACATGCCTACGAATTTTAATTTTAAAGTGATCTTTGTGTTATAAATAATGGACGTTTTTGTTTGTTAATGCATAATTTTGACAAGTTATATTATTAATTACAAAAGATTGATATTTTTATGTATCAACAAGATACAAACTCTTAAATAGCTTTGGTTTACATTAATTATTGTGGACTACTAATATTAATAAAGAAAAAGGTCACTAAGTAAAATTAAAGATTATAGTGAAAAAAGGCCAGGTCACTATATGAAAATAACCCTCTATAGATTTTATTCCACTACATTTCACAACTTAGGGTATCAAAGTTAACTTTCAAAATATTTACAAAAACATGTACTCGTAACAAGTTAACAACAAATACTAGTCCTAATCCATTACCGTTAGACACAAGCAAATTGCATAACGGCATTTTATACTACATACTGGAAGTCCTAATAGTACTACTGAGATGCTTTTTTTAAGTATTACTAAGAGTGTTTTTAATACTACTAGAAGCATGTATAGTACAACTGAGAATGTTCAGTAGTACTGTACTATATTACCTCTCAGTAGAACTCTCAAAATATCATTATTTACAAAATTGTCATTGTTATGTATTTGCTTGTGTCTAACTATGATGTATTAGGAAGACTTCCTCACAAATACATAACTACACTACACACCTTCCCCGGTTTCTAAGGCTGAGCAAAATTATCCAAAAAACCGAAAACCCGAAACCGATCCGAAAATTAGAGTATTCGATCTGAAAACCATAACGATTTGGGTACCCGATCTGATAATTTGTTATCGGGTATGATTATTAGGTATTATTTTAAAATTAACGGTTACCTGATCCGATCCGATAAGCAATTTTTTTTTCCTACTTAAATCATTTATCCAAACTCTAAACTCTTACTTAATTTAATAATTACTTTATAATTTGAATGATTAGTAATATTATTAGTAATTTGGTCAAGATCATGTGGTATTGTTGTTAATTAGCGTTGAAAACTATCATAATAACTAAATCTAATTAGTAGTCCCTCTCTAGGATGAGTGGTCCTTTTCTAGGGTTTGTCGTTTTCTTAAAGTCAGTTTGATTTCCGTAGTGTTTTTGTACCTTTTCTCGATTGATTTCTTGCGTCATGGAGTCTGATCTCATCAAATCTTGGGAAAAGCTCCAATTGACGGAGGAAGAAACTACTGTAATTGGCGAAAATAGTGAGGAGGGTTGTCAAGATGAACCCATTTTACAAATAAAATTAGCGTTGGTCGGGAAACTTTGGACGGTGAAAGCTTTCAATGTGGAAGAGATGAAAAAAACCCTAATGACAGTTTGGCGATTGAACGATAATGTAGCAATACGAATGGTGGAACCGAATATGTTTATTTTCCAATTCTTCAATGAAGCAGACAAGAATCAAATTATGAAGGGGAGGCCTTGGTTCTTTGATGTAAAATTTCTACTTCTCAAGGAGATTGGAGGTGAGGAGCAACCCTCGGAAATTGTTTTTTCGCACTCACCTATATGGGTTCGATTTCTTGACGTTCCTTTCAACAAGAGAATTCCCTCTGTTATGCGCAATATTGGTGATTTTCTAGAGGACTTTCTTGAACTGGACGAATCAGATCCTCTGGGATGGTGCGAATTTATGCGAATCAAAATTCTGGTTGATGTTAATAAGCCTTTAAGACGAGGCATTTTCACTGCAGGCGGTCCAGAACCGAAGTGGATTGATGTGAAGTACGAACGACTGGCTGTTTTCTGCTTTGTTTGTGGCAGAATTGATCACATATAGAAGGAATGTCTTAACAAGGATGACAATGCTGGAGCAGAGGAGGCAGTGGTGTTTAGATATGGGACATGGCTTCGAGCTTCGCCTGTTAAAATCTCTCAGAAGTCTTTGCTACGAGAGAGAAGGAGAGATTGTGGAGTGATAAGCTTAAATCATTGAGAAGCTCGAGTGGTTTTTCAACTCCTGCTACAATAAGTTTGGGACCAGTTAGTGCTGCTAGAAAACTACAATTTTAGTCCCCAGAGTCACCAATGTCTGCAAGTAAGCCCTGTGATCGTAAAGCAAGACTTGTTCTTGTCACTGATGAGAAGAGTAAGAAAGTGGTGTTGAGGCCCAAAGGGATTGGTGATGTAGCGGATGGTGAGAAACAAATTCTTATTGATGGCCTTATGTCGAACGCTGGCTTAGGGGGTGCAATTGAAGAGATGAATGATACAGTGAGTAACTTAAATCAGCAGAGTCAAGTAGCAGAAGGAGGCTCTCCTATTACTGTTCCTAGTGCAGGGGGTAAGATACGCAAAGGGGGTTCCTGGAGGAGATTGCACAAGGATAGGGGAGGATATGATGAGGTTATGATGAATGCTGAAACTGAAAACCTTAATAGAGGAGTGTAACACCCCCAAATCTCCCTCTATGGAAATATCAGTATAATACGTATAATTATGCCGTAGAGATAGATTTAGACGTATTACCGTCGCGTGATTACGCAAGGCTACCAAAGCTACTAACCAATACTCTGCAGCGGAAACTACTCAAACTCTTTATTTATTAATAATAACTATAAATAGTAACCATTGTCAAGAGTACTCATAAATAAACAAAGACCAACATTCCTAATCTAGGTGAAGAACATCCCGGGACTCCCATATGCTCAAATATTAACTCCATCTGAAAATAGTCAACACTGCTTAGCATTAAGGTAAACAGGGCGAACCAAAACAAATAGGATATACGGATTAGCAAAACATGCTAAGTACGATAAGTGCAAGATAAGCAAATTCAATTTATTTGCAAACATGCTTTTAAAGCCAATTCCAATGTTAATCCAATAATTCCAAACTCAAAATCCAAAACCAATTCCAATAATAAAATTCCAAAACTCATGATTCAAAACCAATTCCAATAATTCAATAATTCGATAAAACGATTTATAAAACCAATTCCTCTTCTGAAAACCATTTCCTCTTTTGAAAACCAATTCCTCAACCAAGTGTGCACACCCCCCAAGCTAGTCTCCTACTATTTCAAGGCTATTCTTGAGGAAAGACTCGGTCATACAAAGTCCAAAGTCTTTTCAATCAAATCCACATAGTGGGATTACTATCAACATGCTTATAAAGCTTTAATAATAAAAATTCAATAAATCCTTTTCCAGTTTCAAGATTCCAACATAATTCAAAACTCCTTTGCAAACATGCTTTCAGAATCAAACCTTTTTCAAAAATGATAAATAATTTTAATCATTCAAAACATGATATAAAATCAATCCTCCAATTTATTTATCAAACCATTTTTTTTTTTAAAAAATGCTTTTATTTCATAAATTATAATCCAATTCAATTTAATTCAATCATCAAAAAAATCATGTAAAACATACTTATTCAATCCAATCAATTTCAAAGGAATCTAGCCACCTAAACATACCTTGATTCCGAATATCAATTGTTTTGGGGTTTTCTGTGTCCCTCGGGAGAGTTAGGTCACTAAGTCTGAATTTCGAGCGCTTGTACTTGCAAAATAACGGAGACTCCGGTTGGGTGGAGTTCCGCCTTTGACGATCAAGTTAGACGTGTACAGAGAATGTAAAAAGGTGCGGAAAGTAAAATGGGATCTTCTCGGATTCCGAGATCAAGTGTTTTTCTCTGTTTTCGAGAGAATTGATTTTGCAATCATTGAATAATTGAAAAAATATGTCTTTTTTAAAGTGGTAAATCTCCCTATTTATAGGGTCATTGGAATTTGTGCCCTCGTCTTAGGTTACAGAAACCTAGGACTGATGGGCTGCGCCGTTTTGCGGCTTTTTTCGGGAATAGGGCCCTGAAGACCGTCTTTTTCCCACTGATTGGGTGTGCCACGTGTCAGCTGAGGAGAGGTTCATTTTGAACCTCTCTTAAGGTGACACGTATCACCCCTTATTGGGCCAAGTGCCTGGGTATTTTTACCCAAAACATTTGCCCCTCATAGGTGTGACGTGGCATGCCACGTGGCGCCTATGACACTTGTTACTTTGGCTTTGGTGAAAATT